TAATGGATCATATATAATGAAATAATAACAGTTATTTTAAAATTCAAACTTGGCCATTATAATATCTGCACTTCTATGGTTATAATATTTTATTGGTCCTCTGATATTTTATCTCTTTAGAAACCTAGTTGTTTTACTGATGACAGATATCATGCATAAAATATTTGAGTACCTGATTTATGATTTCCCTATAGAGAGGATTTAATTTTGCTACTGGCAGGCTGTCGAGCTATGGGTTGATTACTATAATTTAATCAATCTGATTAGAAAGTGAACAGATTAGATTTGGGGCTTCAGCATTTACAAGGGCTGGTCTATTTCTGATATACACTTACCGTAAGACTGCAGTCATTTGTAGTCCAATTGAAAACCTAGGGTGATTACTCAAATCATTTTCGTTAACAAATGTAGAATTCTCATTTTACTATCCCCATTCCTATGAGGCTACAAAGTCCCCTGCCCATTTTCTCATTCTCTGACCTGTTACTTTCAGAAAGATTCTCAAGGAACAAAGAACATGAAATATCAGGTTCACTCCTCTGCACAGAGTGTCTTTGCTGACCTGGTAGTTTTCTGGCGTCTCAAGTATGTGTATTTCTCCATAAATCTTCAGTTTTGTCATTGTTCTCAGTGGAAATATTAAACTAATACAAGCTAGTCTGCTAATACTAGCCTACTAATGTTTGAACAGAAAGAGAAATTTTCATCATGCTATTACATTCAGGATCCTTGCTAGCACCTAGAAGCCCGTAGAATGTTAAACATAGAGGAAATTGGATTGAATAAAATGAGTGATATTATGGCGTATTTTTAATGAAAAGAGTATAGAAGCCATGGGATGCATAACGTTTTAAAAATACTATAAAGTAAGTCTCATTCATATACACCATCCACTGATGTGATATAAAGGAAAAGCAGATGAGATGAAATTAAAAAGGAAGAGGTCATAGTACATTGTCTTGATGATAAATATATTATAAATCATATTAGGAAAACTATAAAACTACAAATATTATTGATGGCAACAAATAAGAAGATAATTTTCTAAATTTTTGCATGTGTGCAGAAAGTAATCTGTTGTAAAGAGATTATTCAGATGTAGTTCTGCACATTTAAGAGAAAGGGCAAAATAATAAAAGGGGATGATGAAATCATAAATTTTCTTTCCCAAGAAGGTAGATGTCTAAAGTTACCATGCATTCTTCCCACTCCGAATTTCTGCATTTATAGAACGTCAGGAAAGTTGGAGCTATATTTCAATAACACTTATATTACATTTTGTATGCCTGGCAAAAGATGTAAGAAAAATATTAAAAGTGTCTAGAAGCTATCAAATAAAAAGTAAGTACAAAAGAAGGGATAATCCAATTACTTGGATAATAAAGTTATAATGCTTTCCCTTAAAGAGCTGAATATTTGTTATTTTAGTCATGCGTACAATCAATACTTTGTCGCTAGTGACAAGAGTACTAGTTTTGAGATGTTTTGGAATATCTGGAAAGAACAATTTATGTTGTTATTTTATGGAAAACAATAATTGCTAATAGCTTGCAGATATATAGCAACAAGATTTCATGTTATTTATGATAAAAAAAATCCACAGATAATTAGGAACTGAATTCTACCTTGTATATGGGAAAATATTTACTTTTTCATAGCTGTCCATTATTTCTGAGACATCGTATGCAGTGATAATAAGAACCAATAAACTTGCAACATTTCGGTAATAATTTTTCTAAGCATAATGCTACTAAAGTGAAAGGGACTGACTATTCCAAGCACCCTGTACTCACGCTTGTCCTCAGCCAAAACTGTGCCTTGGCACCACGTATTTCACACATTGATGTCTCAGACTCACCGCCGCTCCTGCCTACTTGCTCTTACTCGGCTTTTAGGGATGCTGCCACCTTTGTCTTGGTGACATTTCTGTCCACTGTATTCAGATGTTCATCCTTTTTGAATAGGCAAATGCTGTTGCTTGATGGAGTACCCAAGTGTTGCTGTGGACCAAATGCAGTAACTGGCCAGTTACTCCATAATTCCAGAAACTCCAGCAAGTATAAGGAGGACTGGATAAATTGCATTTGGTGAGTTACTTGACAGCCGATTTGCACAGAGGCTGCCATAGGCTATGAGAAAATAATGTGTTCTACTTGTGGCAGGCGTGCTTAGAATGAAAACACACTAATGGTGTGTTCTCAATAAGGCAGAGTAGGAAATAAGACAGAAGCTAAATTGGAGGGCCTCTCTTGGACTTCTAATATATCTTCAGCAAAACATGTTAAAGAATTGCTGTGTGTACAAGATTCTTTTATAAAGATTATAGAGGCTTTTATAAGATAATGTGAGGAGATCATATTGTGTCTAACTATAACAAAATATAGTATTTCGGAGTTTATTTTTTCTTATTGGGAAAGCAAACATCTTTAAGAATTTTTTTTAAATAAAAGAAGAAATAAACATAACACTTCAGAAATAATTTTGCACAACTTTCCCATATAAGTACACATGATTCGATATACACTATATTATATACATTATATTTGGTGAGAATGTACTATATTGGAATCTTCTTTTATATTGTTTAGTTAACAACATATGGTATTTCTCATATTATTGAAAACATTATTTAACTGTCCTTTGAATGGTTGCTGAAAATTGTTTGACTTTAACTGTGGATCTTAATTATATAACCATTTTCATAGTTATAAGCTTTGAAGTATTTTATTCTCTATTTTCTCTTTCTGTCTCGTTTCCTTGCTGAGTTTTGGTATCATCAATGTTACAATGAAGACTTAATAGATTCATATGTAAGTATCCAAAATGTACATCAAGTACCTAGAAATTTAGGTGATGGATCAAAGAGTATGTACATTCCTGGGGAGATCAGCTGGACTCAATAGAGCACTGGCCAAAAAAAGCCACTTTATTCTTCCCACCACTATCTAGTTACTTGATGTATATTTTGGATGTTTAAATTTTTGTCATGAACTACTTCTTCTTTCTGTAATTGGATGATATATTGAGCAAGCTTCTGCTTTGCATGTCTTTCTAAGATAATAAACAAATACTTTGTTTAGCATTAAAAAGTTATTAATTGTAAGAGCTAAAAATGTTGGCCACATAGATGTAGAGAGTAGAGTAGAGGCTCATAGAGGGTAGGAAATGTAGGGAGTGTGGGAAAAGAGAGAGTATAGATAATGGGAACCAAAACACAGAAGTGGGGATAGTAGTTCTAGTGCTATGTGGCATAATAGGGCATTTTAGTCTGGCACCCAGAAGTACATATTTCAAAATAACTAGAGAAAAGCTTTAAGGTTTCCAGCACATAGAAAGGATAATTACCTGAAGATATGGGAATGCAAATTATACTGATTTGATCACTACGCATTATATGAATCTACCAAATTACAATGTTGTAGCTCATAAATAAGTACAAATGTTATACGTCAAATAAATAAATAAACCTTGAACAATCCTAAAAGAATCAGATGGTTGAATGTGATTAGATGTTCCCTTTGGAAGTTGTTGCTGGTTTTGATTGAATTATTCTATCTTTTTTTTTTTTTTTGCTGGTAGACATTAATAAACTTAAAAGCCCTTCCTAAAATCTTAAATGTGTTAAACCTTAGAAAGAACCTAATGATCTGTACTAATCTCATGAAAACTATATAATTTAAACCAGCCATTGCATTATAGCTTATTCAATCTAAAGGTTATTTTACAGCTATTTTCCTGCATAAAAGTTATTTTTGCTGAGTAATTTTCTAAATTGTGATATTTATAAGCGCCTTCCTTTTGATAAATTTCAAGTAAAACTGAAATGTTAATTCATTTGAGAGATGCTTTAACAGACTTTAGAGAGTTCCATCTACAAGAGTGAGTAGAAGTTATTCCAACTGATAAGTATAGTTTAAAAAGTGATCAATACAGTTTATTACATTATTGAATACAAAAGTCATGGCAGCTTTGATTGATACAGAAAACCAGTTGGTAAAATTTAGCAATAATTTATGATAAAAGCAACCAACCAAGTAAACAATTCTTTGAAAATCAGAAATGGAAAGGAATTCCCTTTCCACAAATACCCTACAAGAAAAATAGAAAATCATGGTGAAATGCTCAAAATAATGACCTAAGGCTTAGAATAAAATGATGATGCCCTGCTATTTTATTCAGTCCTTAGTCAATGAAATAAGATGACAGGAAAATATCTAAAGCTACTTAATAGGGAAATACAGGTGCCATTATTTCTAGAACAAGCATACTACATTTACACGAGATTTCCAAAATGATCTCTAAACTATTAAGTTAAAAGTGAATTAAGTCATATCACTATATAAAGATCATAAATAAAAAGATAATCACATGATATCTATTAGAAACAACAAATACACAGTGACTCCTGTTGTTGACTTAACAAATTGACATTCTTGTTTATGGCATCAGTAATCACCCTAGGCTCTTGTCATGAGCTGCCAAGGCTATGGAAGCCCCCTGAGTTCACTGACTCTGATCATTTTTAGACAAGGCCATGGTCAAAGTGGAATGTCAATTTGTTAAGTCAACAGCAGGAGTCACTGTGCACTTACTCCTCATGTAGGATCTTTGTCCTTAGTGTGCTGTACATTGAGATTTAATGCTATAACTAGTACTCAAACAGTATTTTTCACTTTATGTTTCTGTGTGGGAGCAAACTGTTGAAATCTTTACTTAATGTATGCTCAACTGATCTTCTGTATATAAAGAGAATCGAAAATGAATCTTGATGTGAATGGAAGGGGAGAGGGAGTGGAAAACGGGAGGGTTGCGGGTTGGAGGGACGTTATGGGGGGGGGGAGCCATTGTAATCAATATTCTGTACTTTTAAAATTTATATTCATTAAATAAAAGTTAAAAAAATAAAAAAAGAACAAATAAAAATAAATTGCAGAAAGTAATACAAAAACATCAGATATCTGGGGGTAATTCTACGAAATGGTGCACAAAATCTCTTTTCTATGCTCACTTCAGCAGCACATATACTAAAATCGTAATCATAGAGCGGAGATTAGCATGGCCTCTGCCTGAGGACAACACACCACTTCATGAAACAACCCCTATTTCTCCCTCCTTGCAGTGGGGGGAGAGCAGAGCAGAAGTTGCATCACTGAGTCATGGCAGGACAAGCATTCAAGAAGTTTCTTCCACTCTGACGGCGTATTGTGTCTCAGAAACCGTAATCAAAGGAGGCCTTACGCTCCCAGAGAAATCTCAAAGAGAAGTACGCCAGCAGCAGTCCTGGCTGCTGGATCAGGCTCGAAAGGAAGGGGTGGGAAGATTCAACTGCTTATTGTGAAAGTTAGAGAGAGTTCTTTCAGAAACAGGAGGTACCAATGTAGCTGTTGATGAAAGGATTTTTTTTCCATTCAGAGGTGCTTCATTCTACAAAATATGTAGACTGAAATCCCTATTGAAATTACATCACACGACGCTGCCCATTCCACTGGATTTCTGAAATGTTTCATCATGTAAATAATGTCTCTTTTATAATAAACAAACACAGTCTAAATTAATGATATGCATTTCCTTTAACGTTTAGTTTCCCTATTTTGTTATACATTTTAAAATCTCTTTAGTGAAATCTGTGACTCTCTTGGCAGGAATTAAATAAGCCCTATATAAGTGCAAAGAGATTTCATGAGGTTTTAGAAGCCATAATATTGTAAATATCTTAATTACTCTCACACTAATCTTAGATTCAATGAGATTGCAATAAAAATGCTATTGGATGGGCCTGAGCTGTGGCATAGTAGGTGGAGCCACCCCCTGCGGTGCCCACATCTCACATGGGTGCTGGTTCAAGACCCAGCAGCTCCACTTCTGATCTGGCTCTCTGGTATGGCCTGGAAAAGCAGTGGAAGATGGCCTGAGTCCTTGGGCCCCTGCACCCACATGGGAGACCTGGAGGAGGCTCCTGGTTTTTGGCTTTAGATTGCTGCAGCTCCTGCCGTTGTGGCCGTCTGGGGAGTGAACCAGCGGCTGGAAGACCTCTCTCTCTCTTTCTGCCTCTGCCTCTGCCTCTCTGTAGCTCTGCCTTTCAAATGAAAATACTGTTGGTGGCTGGCGTCATGGCCCACTTGGTTAACCCTCTGCCTGCAGCACTGGCATCCCATATGGGCGCCAGTTCTAGTCCCGGTTGCTCCTCTTCCAGTCCAGCTCTCTGCTGTGGCCCAGGAGGGCAGTGGAGGATGGCCCAAGTGCTTGGGCCCTGCACCCACATGGAGACCAGGAGAAGCACTTGGCTTCAGATCAGCACAGCATGGGCCATAGCGGCCATTTTGGGGGTGAACCAACGGAAGAAAGACCTTTCTCTCTGTCTCTCTTTCTCACTGTCTATAACTCTGCCTGTCAAAAAAAAAAATACTGTTGGAATTTACTATTTATCTCAGAAGTAAAAAAAAAAAACTGAATTTAAAATTCATTAAGAAATGAAAAGGGCCGAGAATAGACAAGGCAGTCATGGAAAACAAAAAACAAAACTGAAAGACTTATACTATCTTTCCATGTTATTAAAGATAGCATGAAGTCGATGATAAAAAAGACTATGAAATTAATTTAACTGGATAGACAGTCCCCAAATAAACCAACACACACACAGTCACGTTCTTTGTAATAAGAAACAGTAGTTCATCAAAAAATAACATGTTATTATAGAGTGTCCTTAACCATTAGGTTACTGATGTGGAAAAAAAGATCTTGACCAAGACTCACCATACACCAAAGTGTTTTCCAAATGAATTGTAGATCTAATTGTTCAAAATAAGGCAATAAAAATATTACAGAAATACTTTATTAAATAAAAGCTTTCAAAAAAATACTTAAGAAGCCGCCATTGTGCTACAGTGGGTTAAGCCGCCACGTGTGATGCTGGCCTCCCATTTGAGCACTGGTTTGAGTTCCAGCTGTTCCGCTTCTGATCCAGCTTCCTGCTAATGTGTCTGAGAAAAGCATTGGAAGCCGGCCTGAGTACCTGGGCCCATGCCACCCATGTGGGAGACCAGAAAGGATCTCCAGCTACTTCTCTTCAACCTAGCTTAGCCCTGGCTGATGTGCCATTTGGGGAGTGAACCAGTGGATGGAATATCTCTTTCTCCATCTTTTTTATCTGTCTCTGTCTCTCCATCTTTCTGTAACTTTGCCTTTCAAATAAATTAAAAAAAAAACTTAAAAAATCTTAAGTGATCTTCTTCATGATTTTGATAAAAAGAACAACAACAACAAAAAATAGAACCCTGGAAGAAAAAAATGTAATAAGGAAATAATTTATTAAAATAGATATTTTTGGTTACACTCTTGGCTGTCATTGGATCTGGTTTTCCTCATGTCATAATCAATCAGAATGCTAGAAAGCTGTCATGATTTTCAGATACTGAAACACAGAGCACATGGAGCTATGATCCATGCAACAGGGAAAATGAAAGAAGGAGTACGAGGAAGGCCCTGGCTGGGTTTAGGAAAGTATCTTCTGGCCCACGATAGAGAACGGAATCACATGTAGCACTATGGTGGTCCTTCTGATTTGAGGAGATAGAGTCTAGCTTTGGGGCAATTTGCAAGGAAAACTATCAGGTAGCAAATAACTGCTTAAACTAGAGCTCTAGAAATCTACTTCTCACTAACCTAGATTCTAGTACTGAATATCCTGCCCTATGCATGCCCAGTGAAATGTCATGTGATTGAAAAAACAGTAACCAGAAAGAGTAATCGGAACAGCTACCAAAATGTACAAGGGGCTTGAGGACCTTTTATTTTTTAACCACAGAGAGGGAATCTTCTCATTGAGCACTTGGGAAATCTAGCAAGGAGAACTGCGGCTCAGCAATGTGATGGAGTCCTAGAATAAAGGACACTCTAGACACACCTGACAAAAAAACAAGCTATAGATTGATAACTGGTACAAAGTTTCAAATAAGAGGAATAAGTTCTACTGCTCTGCTGCAGATGGAGTAATTATAGTTAACAACAAGATATTGTGCATTTAAAGATAGTTAGCTGAGGGGCTGGTGCTGTGTTTGAAGACATATCTAGAAAATTAAGCCTATATAAGTGTAGGTCAATACTACTTTTCCAAACACTGCTGTGAAATAGTTAAATAAATCAGCCCTAAAGGCATTCGGATCTGGCTGAAAAGCCCATGAGAGTATTTCAGGCATGGAAAGCCAAGACACTCTGGCAAAAGACCTCTACGAGTGAGATCCCAGTGGAAAGAACAGGTCTTCAAAGAAGGAGGTACCTTTCTCTGAAGGGAGGAGAGAACCTCCACTTTGACTATGAGCTTGTCTAAACAAGATAAGAATCGGAGAACTCAGAGGGCTTCCATAGCCTTGGAAACTCATGACCGGAGCATAGGGAGACTACTGATGCCATAGACAGGAGTGTCAATTGGTAAAGTCAACAACAGGAGTCACTGTGCACTTACTCCTCATGTAGGATCTCTGTCCTTAATGTGCTGTACATTGAGATTTAATGCTATAACGAGTACTCAAACAATATATTTCACTTTGTGTTTTTATGGGGGTGCAAACTGTTGAAATCTTTACTTAATGTATACTAAACTGATCCTCTGTAAAAAAAAAAAAAGAAATTATCAACTCCCAACTTGACTCTCACTGGGATTAAACATGACAATAGGTCTGATCTGATTTCATCATCATTTAAAAAAAAACATCTATTATTTTTCACTTTATGTTTCTGTGTGAGAGCAAACTGTTGAAATCCTTACTTAATGTATACTAAGCTGATCTTCTGTATATTAAGAGAATCGAAAATGAATCTTGATGTGAATGGAAGGGGAGAGGGAGTGGGAAAGGGGAGGGTAGTGGGTGGGAGGGACGGTATGTGGGGGAAGCCATTGTAATCCATAAATCGTACTTTGGAAATTTATATTCATTAAATAAAAGTTAAAAAAAAGACTATGAAAAGATTGAATGTCTCTATAATTAAGTTAAATATATGATAGAACAAAGTTGACCACTTTTGAAAAGACTATAAAACCAGGCACTCAATAATACCTATTCATCATGTCCAAAACTACTGGACATGCAAAGCTTGTAAAGAAGAAAAATAAAACTTACTAATAGGAGAAAAGTCAAGCAATGAAAAAGCACATAGAATTAGCAGATAAGAACTGTAAAAAAGGTTATATTAACATTCTCAGTGTTTTCAAGTATTTAAGGGAAAAAGAATATGAGACTAGAAATAGAAGATAAAAGAATTTACAAAACAACAAGAAACTACTTATGAGATGAACTTGAAAACAGGAGATCCTACAAATGTTCATTTGTAAACCACTGTAATTGAAACTATAAAAATATAAGCCCTCAAGGGGAAAAAAGTTGAAATTAATGACCTGAGCCTCAATGATTTGTAGTACAATACCCCGTATAAATACCTATACCAATTTGCTAAGGGATATTATTGGTTTATTTTGCATTTCTCTGATTACTTCGTTTGCAATTCATTTCATAGGGTTTTACTTTTTTATTTTTGGTAATCATATTTATTTATGCTATCTTTGGCAAACTGGGATTGGCTCAACCAGAATCTTTTATGATAAATAACCTGATAAGCAAGCAGATTCTAGGTCACTGGGTAGATGAGCATAGGAGTGGATCCACAGTTTTCCTCTTATCTCCTGACATGAACTCAGTGACAACTTGGTTCTCTGATGAGAAGCTGACGACTATCCCAATCTACATGAGTGCTAGCAAGATGAAAGACAGCAGTAAGAAAGAGTGATTTATACACGTAGGTTAGGGGTCTTCGCTTTAGCGAGGTTCTCCTCTTTCTCCATGTGGAACTACACATGGTTGCATAAAAAACAATCAGTAACTGGGAATATCTATGTTAAATGTAATGGCCAGCAGATTGTCAAGAACGCTGGTGACAGGATCCCCAGAAATAATTAGCATGATTTGTCTCTCAAGATGGAGGAAACCACTCAATGCAGTACTAAGAAGTTGCTGATGTAGTGCATTACATGCTGTCACGTGTTACATTTTGTCCTCTACCCAAAGTTGTCTGTTGAAATCTTTATTTCCAATAGCTCAAAATGTGACCTTATTT